GAGACCAATACGTTCATTTTAACGTTATAATACCTTTTAACCTCATAGATAGGTAACACGTGTTAATTGAAGAGTTTGCTAAAGAGGAGCAAAGAGAGTATAAGACTGGGATCCTGGGCAGACAGCATATTTTATAAAGTAGTCCTTTTATTTTACTAGGGTTTTCTTTGTTGCCATAGCTACGTTTTTCCCACCACCGCCGCCTGGGGCTTCTCCCCCCATGGCTGACGCTGCCTCCCCCCCCCCACACACACACACCTCTTTTCTTCCACCACCCCTTCTCCTTCCTCATTAAGAGTTTTTCCGCTGGATTGGAAGAACCTCCTCGCTACTACCCCTCAAGTTTCCACAGAGTTTTCTCACTCCCTATCTTTCATCCCTACACAAAACCACACAGCCCAATTTATAAGTGATCAATTTGTTGTTGGTGTTCTAGAATGGTCGCTCTTGCTTGTTGGATACTCAGTCGGAAAAAGGCCCTTCTACGAAGCTTTACACTCGGCTATCAAAAAAACATGGACGCTGAAAGGTTCATTCTCTCTCCTAACCATGGATAAAGGTTTTTTCCTCCTCAAATTTTCAACTCTTGAAGACTATGAGCAAGTTTGGATCGAAGGCCCCTGGTTCTTTTTCGGTAAACCCTTTATTCTCCAAAAATGGACGCCCGATTTTGTTCCTAAATGGGAAGGGTTTCCTTCTATACTGCTCTGGATCAAAATCATGAATTTATCGCTCTCTTATTGGGCTCCTGAAGGTATATATAAACTTGCTAGTTGCATTGGTATCCCCCTAGTCGTAGATGCTCTCAATGTCACCAAGACCCATTTGATATTTGTTAAAGTTTGTGTGAAAATTACTAGCTCATCCCCCCTCCCAAATGAAATTTTTTACTGTGTGGATGGAAAAAACCTTTTCCCTAAGAGTTTCTTATGACTAGAAACCTAAACATTGCTCACAATGCGGCTATATCATGCACCCTCCCACTCTTTGCCCCGGAGACCCAATTCTTTGCACTCAAACCACAAATAGACCAAGAGGTAGAAGTACTAGTCGTAAACCTCGGCTAACCCCCCCACCCCGTCTTACCATCCCTAAACTTGCACCACCACCTAAACCCAACTCCACAAATATCCTCTTACTGCCAAACCCATAAGCAGGACCTCTTATCCCAAACTTAAACTCACCTTCTGGAGAGTGCAATGACATCACTATTCTCTCTCCATCCCCAGAGGACCTCTATAAACAAAAAACCAATTTGCAACTCTAACGAGTCAAGACAACTCTGAGAGGCCAATACTCCCATCCCCAACCCCACCCTTGCTCTGTCCCATCCTAACCATCATGAGTCCCCCTCAAACCTCCCCCCATAATTATCAACCTAAGATTCCCTCACCTTCAGACAAATCCACCTCCAGCTCTCCCAGTAATTACCCTCCCACCATACCAGCACAGTCTGAGCAACCCACCTCAAGTTCCAACACCCTTAAAACGAAACAACCGACCCTCAACAACCAAAAAGTTATTAGAGGCAAATAATCCAAAAAAACATTTACCCCCACCCCCAAATGCCAATGATCCTTCCCAATATGGCAGCCTAGAACATTCGTGAGTTTAATAAACCTGACAAAGTGCTGAGCTAGAAACACCTTGCCAACCACCACAACCTTGATCTCCTTTTTATTCTAGAAGCAATAATTTCTCAAAGTAACCTCTCTAATTCTTTGTTCCTTGCTAGTCATGAAAATTTTCCCCTATAAGCCTCTTGTAACAATTTTATGCACTCAATCCCTAACCATATTTGGGTTAAGTGGAATGTTAGATCTGTGAATTTCATCCCCACTCTCACTACTTGCCAGCTTATTCATGGTACTATCTATGTTGCCTCATCTCCCATCTATATGGTTACGGTTATTTATGCTAACAACTCCTATATGGAAAGACAGATTCTATGGAATAACATTCGGGATATTGCTGAAAATATTAACCTTCCCTAGGCAATTATTGGTGACTTCAACTGTTGTCGATCTCCTTGTGAGAAAGATGGAGGCACTCCCCTTATTAATAGCAAGCTTGGAGATTGTAACAACATGATTTTCAATACTGGTTTGCATGATCTATCCTCAATGGAGAACTTTTTCACTTGGCATAACCCCCAAACTGACAACCCCATTCATATAAAGCTAGACCGAGTGCTAATAAATGACAGTTGGCTGGTATCTTTCCCCAGCTCCTTCTATAAAATTTGTTATCCATGTTGTTCTGATCACTCACCCATTATTTTAAAGGGAATAGATTCATGTCTAAAAACTATTGTGCAAAGATATCAAAATTTTGGGATTGCCTCATTGATGTTTTTTCTCAACCTAACCACTAACAGCCCCCTTTACTCCTACTATAAACTGAAAACTCTCAAAAATAATATTAAACACAAGCATTAGACCAACTTCAACAACATACATATTGAGATTGACTCTCTCAATAGCCTCCAAAACCAAGTAGTCTCCCAGCTACAAAATAATCCTATTGATCCCAATCTCAATGCCTACCTAAGCAACATCAACGATAAACTAGACCACTACCTTAACTCTCTCACCAGCTGGATCACTCAAAAGGCCAAGGTGAACTAGCTCACCCATGGGGAAGCTGATTTAAAATTCCTTTACTCAAAAATCAAAATCACCAAAAACCATAATCGTATCAAAGAAATTATCTCTGAACAAGGCACTTTTACTACCCACCAAGACATTTCCAACACCTTTATTCACTATACCAAGATCTTCAATTCCCCAAACCCCCCCACCTCATCTCTCCACCTCTAAGACATCCTTGCTGGAAACATTATTCCTGCTCACCTTTTACCCAATCTCACCACCTCGGTCACCATAGAAGAAATCAAAAACATTATTTCTTCTGGCAAAGCTAACTCTGCCCCTGGACCTGACTGTTTCATTTTTGGGTTCTACAAAACCACCTAGAACATGATAAAATATCAGCTTTGTAATGCGGTGCTCTCTTTCTTCACCACTGGCCACTTACCTAAGTAAGTTAAAGCCACTGCTATTGCCTTGATTCCGAAACATCCACATGCTAATAATGCCAAGGAATTTAGACCCATATCCATTTGTAATGTTATTTACAAAGTCATTGCCAAAATCATCGCTAACAGGATGAAGGAGGTGTTACCCTTCATCATCCATCCTAGTCAAGGAGGCTTTATTCAAAAAAGAATTATTACAGATAACATTCTCTTGGCTACGGAATTACTAGGAGTTTAATTTAAAAGCTAAGGAGAAATATTTTTGCGCCAAATTTGACATTATCAATGCTTTTGACACCGTCTCAAGAGAGTTCCTTTTAAGGAGGCTTGCTGACAAGGAGTTCCCATATATGTTTATAAATTGGATTAAGGCTTGTATCACTGATGTACATTTCTTAATATGTATTAATGGGGCTCTTGAGGGTCATTTCAACTTCTCTTCTGGGCTCAGGCAAGATTGCCCCCTATCCCCTTACCTCTTTAGCATAATCATGGATTACTTTTCTTCTTGTATTGACAAAGCCATTTCCAACTCCTCCTTCACTGGTATGTCCTCTGGCAACTGTGTTATATCCCATTTAATGTTTGTTGACGATCTGCTTGTTTTTGGTAAAGCCACCACCCAAAATGCTCATACTCTTCATAACATTCTCAACCTTTTTGCTGAAGTTTCTGGGCTTCACGTTAACCCCCTTAAGAGCACTATTTTGATCTCCAAAGACGTCCCCCAAGCTACTCAAATCTGTGCAATCCTGCATATTTCTCAATTTTTTTTGCCCCTATTAAGTACCTTAGGTTGCCTATTTTCTACAAGAAGTTGAAAGCAATTGACTTTCAACCATGGCTCTAAAGAATCTCTTCTTCTCTTGATGGTTGGAAAGCAAAATTATTTTCCTTTGCTAGCAGAATTCAATTCCTCAAATTCATCATTAGCAACACTTTGGCTTACTAGATTTGTGGTTCTATTTCACCCAAAGGTTGCTATAAGATTATTAACCGTTTGTGCTCTAGATTTGTTTCTTTTGGCAATACTAGTTTGAGAAAAATTCACACTATCTCTTGGAAGGATACATGTTGTCCCAAAACTAAAGGCGGTTTGGATGTTCCATCTATTAATGCACTCTATCACTATTTTTCCTGTACGATTATTTGGAGATTTCTAAACTCTAGCAACTTGCTTTTTGATTGGCGGCACAATAAATATCAATCTCTCTGGAACACTTTGAATGTCAAATGCTCTACTTTCTGGAAGTTCTTGTGCATTAAGGTTACTATTATAAAAAGTTGCATTTCTTTGAATGTTCATACCACCATCAAACAATCATTTATTTGGTACCCTTGGTGCAATGGAAGCTCGATTGCCAATTTGTTAAATGAATCGCAGACTATTCATACTTACTCCCCCTTTTTCAACTGGACGGTATCCAATGCAGTTTCTGGGGATAATTTGGTTGTCCCTAACTACTTTAATGCTATGATTACTACTAAGATACTGACCATATCCTTAGACAATAATCTGTAACCTCAACATTGGCTTTATACTCAAACTCCCAATATATATATAAACAAATTATTATCTAATTAGAAATTATTTTTTATATAATTATGACCTAATAAGATATTTTACATGAAATTTTTTGTGTGATAATTAATTTAAAATGGATAAGGAAGAGAAAATCAAATTTGTATAATTCAAAAAATGATTATCTGAGAGAAATTATAACTTTAGTTTAAATAATAAAAAAATCGCTTTTGGGCTAAAGCATATATAATAAAAAATTAAAAAACACATCAATGAATTATGTTGGAAACTATGATGCATAAAGTATATGAGAAGAGAAATTTATAAGAATATTATAAAAATATATTTGGATCATATTAAACCTACCATAACAAAAAATTTAAAATACTCGATGAAAATGAAAGGGTTTCTTAAGTAATTTGCGCCTCCCTCCTTCCTTTTTATTTGCCCTAGCCGATCTCGTTTCATTTGTTCTCTGTATAGCCCCAGCCGCTACTTCGTGCGTTTCCATAGCTCCGCTCTGCCGGCGTCCGAAGGTTGAAGCTCGATTGCTCTAAGGAAAAACCGGTATTTTTAGGGTAAGCTAGAGTACCCTTCGTCTGAGGTAGAAGGCTGCGAGGAGCTTGATCAACGTTGGAATCTCGGAGTATCAATGGGCATTTTTAGGGTAAGCTAGAGTAAATGAGTAGCAATCACCCATATATTCTGCTGCATCTCCTTTCGATTCTCTTCCACTCGAAAATTTTCAAGTTTTCTTCCTGCCCGAAAGAGTTCCATCTGTCTGTTCATCAATAAGTTTTTAACTGTGTATGCTGATTTTTGGAATAGAAATTTATCTTTTTGGCTCTTGATTTCGGCAGTTTCATCAATACCAAGTGGTTGGCCGTGCCCTTCCAACCCCAAGCGATGAGCATCCAAAGATTCATCGCATGAAGTTATGGGCTACTAATGAAGTCAGGGCAAAATCCAAGTTCTGGTAGGAAGATCTGCCTTCTTTTCTTGTTAAACTTTTTTCCACATTTAATAATTTTTGTATTGATCTTGCTCTCGTCCATCCTTGTAATAGGTACTTCCTGAGAAAACTAAAGAAGGTGAAGAAAAGTAACGGCCAAGTCCTTGCTATCAACGAGGTTCGTTCTGGTCTTATGCCTTCTGTTTAAGTGTGGACTTGTTATGATCCGAATATTTTTGCAGTGCTCTCTTACATAAATGAGCCATCTTTGGTTGTTTTTTTTATAAATGTTGACAATTGGAAATATACTTTCTTAGGAGCAGCCAGAGCCATTAGCTCAATAAATTTATCATATTAGAACGTACAAGAAATACATAGCTATGCTATGGCTAGATGATACTCGAAGAGATCAAGTAATAGCCCAAAACATGAACCAAATAATGATTTAAGGGATCTTGTTGAGGCCTGAGTGAGTATATGTTCTAAATAAATTGGAGCTAAGAATCAAATTCCTAGGTTCAAGATTAACCTGAAAGCTAGGTTGCTCCAATCGAACTTGTGAGAAAAAGAAATGCTTGTTAGGAAGGGGAATAGGATGGAATGTTTGACATCATTGTTAACATTCAAGCCACCAAAAAATCCCAAATCCATCCATAAATAGTCAAAAAAACCACCACATTAACTGATAACAAAAGGCTTGCATGATGTATTCTCAACAACATGCAGATATGTTAATGAAAATATTAATTCCCTTGATAGCCTCATACAAGAGCAAAAAATCCACCATCCAATAAATGTTGTTTGCCATAAGTGCAAATATAAAATTCACAACCGATAGCAAAACCAGAGATGGAAGAATCTTAAAGGCAAACACACAAAGAACATGAAATGTGTAGGCCCGTGAGCAAAAAAACAAAAAGAGAATTGAACAAACAATAAACTAGTAATTGTTGATTGATTGTAGACAATGAAAAGAAATAAAATAAAATCAACTAATGGCTATCCAATTCATCAGGTATGCATTTATCTTTGACAATCAAGCTGGATTGCTTTATATTTGAGGTTCACATAGTTTTTGATCTTTAACACTATATTCTCAAGCATACAAAGTAGTAATACAATTATTTCTCTCTATCCAAAAGTTTTGTAAGAGAACCATATTAGTTAGAAGATCTAATTTCTTGAAATATTTATCATTGTGGAAAATTAACTATGCCCTAAAATTTGAATCATGTAGGCTTCAAAAAAGAAAGTTTTGGCCACTATAGTTGTCATTTCTTGATAAGCCACATGAGTTGTTGATATATATATATATATCCTTGTGTAGCCATCACATCAATCATTTGAAGAGCATTCAAGCTTGCCATCCATGTGTGAGTTGAGTTCCCCTAAACAAACCCTCGGAACCAAACAAATTTTGTTCAATTAATACATTGGATATTCAAATAGAAGCTTTCTTTGGGGCACATAAGGCAAAGTTCTCATTTTCATGTCATAGGATCACATTATCTTTCCGAGAAATGATAATGTTGCTAATAGCATAAAGGCAACTGGTGTTAGAATTTTGTGAGGGATTGGGAACTACCATATTTCCATCCAAGTTATTGGCATCAACAATAGCATCTAAAGGTAAGTTGAAGAATGTGCATATTGCAGACCGTCTAGTTTTCAAAATAGTATACGTTTAGCTGATAGTCAATGATATGAAGACAATAACTTATAAGAGACATTCTTATATGAATTACGACTCATTTAGGAGGCAAAAAACTTAAGCTCCTTTTAAAAAGAAGAGATTTTACCATATTGTTTGATCCAAATCGAACCATAAAAGATATTCTAAGAGCTCAAGATAATGAACTTATGAATAATTCTCCTGAGTTTTTGATCTTATGGGAGATTATGGATGGAAGGGCATAGAAATCCCAAGGAGCCTTTAGATTTGGCATAGCAGTTTGTTGCTAAAAATAGTGTGGAGTTTATGACAAGTTCTACTGTCAAAGATAAATCTGGGCCAATGGCATCCAATGGTTTAGTTTTGGCTTTGCGAAAAATAAGCAATTCATCTTTATAAATAAGATTGATGGAAATGTCTTCCCAAATAGTAAGCTTGAAATATTTTCTACATCAGCATTCATTAGTAAGTTGGATAACATATATGTAGTTAGGAAGGTGATAAGGTATTGTCTGTCTCATACCATTTTTTTGAGTTAAAGTAATCTTGTAGCTCACCATATATATTAATAGAGAATGGGACATCAATAGTAGAATTTTTAATAGGTTTAATGAACTTGATAGGAATACCACAACATAAATTGTCCAAGTATTAGATAGCTGAACGATGTGAAGCCAAAATAATTATTCAAAAAGTTTTTTGAATAACCTTGTTCCTTGCGGAAACAAAGTTATTAGAGTTACAATTAGAGTAATGATCAGTTAGAGTAGGCATGATATTATTATAAAAATCATGGAACATCTCAAACCAGATAGCGTTAGATAAAGTCCTATAAATTTTAAATCTAATGGGAGAGTTAAGCTGATTGTTAAACTAAGAGAATGAAAGCCCCAGGTTGGAAAGGTTGAAGAGGACAACAACTTGAAAACGCAATTGTTGAATAGGGTAGTTATCATCTACCCAAGCAAAGAAGTAGAACTAGCAATATAACAGAGATTCTCATATTATTCCTATTAAAGGAGGCATTAGTTGGAGCCAAAAAATTCATCCAAACTATGAATTAACTAAGGTCCAGTAAATAAAAAATAAAAATAAAAAAAAAATAAAAAAACCTAAGGTCCAGTAATTATGTGGTGAAATTTGATTTTGGAAGAACCCAACTTACATCCAGAGTCTCCCATTAGAAAGTTATGCCAATCATATGCAGAAACCTTTAGTTATATCCATAATGAGCATTGTTTTTCCCCAATGCTTACTGTAACTTTTACTTCTTCAGTTTGGTCTGATTGGATAACATACTTCTTGTAAAATGTTAATATGTATAATTTTCTTGCATAACTCGATGGGCGGAAACCCATATAAAGGATAAAGAAAATTAGTGGCAAAGGATTAGCAGGAAAATTTATTAGATTTAAAAATTGTAAAAAAATAATTTGCCAATTATAGGTTTGGCATTTCCGAAAGCTCCTAGCATAAATAAATGAAAAATAACAATTCTTTGATACATTCTCAGATAGATGGATTAAGGCTGATGATGATAGTGATGATATTTTACTTATGTGTTCCCTTTTAGGACCTACTTTTAGTGATTGTTTCCAGAACATATATGTTGTTCTGTGATTGAGTCGGTAATGCATATGTTAATTTTTGAGGAGCCTTTTATATATAGTAGTCAGTGTGTAGTACTTTTCAAGAGTTATTGATTTGTATTGACTATTGGGTAGAAAAGATAAGAATCCACCGGCTCTATATTTATGGATTTTTAAATGTTGTTGAAAGTTGAGCTTTTTGCATGCCCGTTTGGATCAAAGTTATCAATATCAGCAGATAATTGCATTTTGGTACTATAGATTATTTCAAGATTTGCATATCTTTGTTTCTTCTAATTTTTTAACGGTTCACTTCTCCGTAGATGATTTGTTCAACATGTATTAGATAAATCCCTCTTTTGTAATTTTTGTTCCTACAACTTCACTGAAATGTGCTCTCCTAATGCTTCAAACTTCTGGTCTTAGTTTGCTAATATATCTCTCTGGTGTCAAAGCTAAGTTCTCATCATTATTCAAAACTCTATTGGAAAAATTATCCTCACATTTCTATCAGCCTACTTTTTAGACTTTCCTATGTTATTTATCAACTTCTCTATTGTACTTTGGGATGATTATTTCCTTACCAACATCCAAATCGCAGCTATTATTTCATAGCAAACTTCTCCCTCGTCCTAATTTTAGTGTTTCTTGAAGCACAAGTCTTAATACCTGAACATTGGCATTTCTTAGACTTTTATCAAGGTTGATTTTACAAGCGCTAACAAATATTTACTCCATTTTTTTTCCAGATATTTGAGAAATATCCAACCAAGATCAAGAACTATGGCATCTGGCTCCGTTACCAGAGCAGGACTGGCTACCACAACATGTACAAGGAGTACAGGGACACCACATTAAATGGCGCAGTCGAACACATGTACAATGAGATGGCTTCTCGTCATCGTGTTCGCTTCCCATGCATTCAAATCATCAAGACTGCAACCATTCCCTCTAAGCTCTGCAAACGGGAGAGTACCAAACAATTCCATGACTCAAAGATCAAATTCCCTCTTGTGTTCAAGAAGGTTAGGCCACCATCCAGGAAGCTCAAGACTACCTTCAAGGCATCCAGACCCAATCTCTTCATGTAAAAGAAGCCATGATTGCTTTTTTTGCATGAAGTTTACTATTACTAGGTTATGCTTGAGCGTTAATTTTGTTGGATTTTGCTAATTTTGTTACCCCAAACTTTGCAATCTGATCTGTGTTATTGTTTTTGAATCACTTTGCTGTAGTTTGAATGTTTGGTATTGGAACCATGAATTGGTGCATGTTTTTTTACTGTTTCTTTTATATGGAATATTGAAAATTTTTACTGCACTTTTGGTTGGCAGAAGAGTTATTGGAAAAAAACAGTAGAGCTTGATTATAGGGAGAGATTACATTCACAAGAAACTGCAGACTTTTTTTTTAACATGTAATTATGATTATTTTTTTTTACATTCTCGATTAGTATTATTTGATCATTATTTTATAGTAACATCTTATATATATTAATTTGATGAGCATTCATAGTAAAATTTTATGCATTTGAATTTGAATTTGCAGCAGGAAGATTACATCACCTTTATCACTGCACTTTTTCACAATCTTCAGCTACTTTATTTTTGCATTGCGAGACATTCATATTTGATCATATATTCATATATATGATATATCTTATTTGGTAAAACAGGCCTTCATTTATAAGGAAAAAATTGTATATAAGGAAGATTAGTTTTTTTTTTCCTCGCAAAATATTTCTTGATTTT